TGTTGTACTTTACCTTAACTAATCCCAGGATAAACAACTTGGAAATTAACTCAAAACTTGGAAAGACTTGCCTTTCGGATACTGAGATTGTTTCTCGGGCGTCATTTCTCCGCCTTCGGCCGCGATTTCCTTCTGCTTTTGCTGCATTCGCTTGGCTCCGAGGCAAGCTGCTTCCAGTGAGACTTGTCGATGTATTTCTCGAATTTCTTCTGAAGGTTCTTGAGCTGCCGTTGCAAAATACTTAGTTCTTATTTTAAAATTTAAGACTGCTTATACGAAAATTATCGATGCAGAAATTTGGAACGCGTCTCGGCGCCTGACGAGGAGTCGATGATAAGTGTTCAGATCAAACTGACAAAATATTGACTAAATATTCTTTAGCCCTCAGTTAATGAAAGATTGCTGTTTTCCATTTTGAGATGGAACCATCAGGGCTTCTAACGTGAGCAGTCGAATTTCACTTCGGCTATAAGATGCCTGAAATGATGACTGTAGTGCGTCATTGTCAAAAAATCAGCTAAACGTCGGGCGCAGAGAAAATTGCGAAAGTTTCAAAGTTGATTCTATGGCGGGAATTCCGAGAAACCCAGCTCAATTCCTGCATTATGATTAATAACTTTGTTGCTTTTTTCAACAAAAAAAAAGTTCAGTCGAACCTCTTCAAATCGATTTTGAAGCAACCAGCAAAATGAAAAAAAATCGTGTTGGCGAGATTTCGAGTTGGGGAATCAAGCATTTTTGTTGTGGAAAATAAAGAAGAATTGAAGGAAATGGTTAATGGTGATATTCTAGGCCTTAAATATATTTTAAAATAAATAGAACTTGGAGACCATTTGGTTGTTAACTTCCTTTTAAAATACTTTAAGTTAATTTTTTATTGCTTTTCTCTTTCCTTTGTCAAGAAAGTGATAGCAAAAAGGCCTCATCAGAAAAGTTGAGTTATGGAGGTTTGAGATGAATAGCCTGTTAGTTAGAAAGGTTTTTAAAAAATTTTTCTAAGGGAATTCAGACAGGGACCTAAAAAAAATTGATACAGTAATATATTCATTAAAATTTTGGTCTTCGGGCAGTCTCCTACACAATATAATTTTTTTTCAATTCCCGCGTCCTTTATTGCATATGATTCACACGAATTTCGCAAAAACACCTATGGCTCCATCTCTCAATGTTCAAGCACTACAGCATTGTGTACCGAAAATATAGACCAAAGCCAGCATGAATGAAATTCTTTCCGGATGATGGGGTTCTGTACAAAAAAAAAAAAAAAACGCGAAAGGGACAACA